TCTGTTGTAGAAAAATATATCTTTAAGATTGTATAACACAATGAAATGAGGTTTCTAGTAGCCCGATTTATCTATCTGATTGTACTTGTACCTTATATAGTACACTAAAATTCAATGTGTTGTTATAATTAACACAGTATGTTCCAACTTCTTAATACAAAAATAAGACGGTTTGGTGTCAATGCCAATGTGACAACTCTTCACCATAGACCAAATGAATCTATCAATTGAACCTTATATTTTTTTTTCAAATTGAGAAGCTCATTGACATGGTTCCATTTGAAATGTCACAGGACAGCGAATGATGAAGAAAATGATTTTTGTATTAAACAATTGATCAATGAGGCTCACACAAAATCTATTTTGGCTCGACTTAATTATGAAAATGTTAAAGAAGGGCAAGTAAACAACATCTGGAAAAGCTGTGGCACAAATCCGTATGCCATTACTTCTGCATCTGTAAAAGCTAAGTTAGCAACAAGGACAATATATATCTAATATCATCGTGCTAAATTTAGAAATGGACATGTGTCGCCAGTTTGTCCGTTATGTAGAGAGGGAAATGAAGATATTCTTCACTTTATAGTAAATTAAGGCAAAAGTTATATACCGCTGTTCAATAGTCATAAATCGATTTAACTGAAACAAATCCGGGTCACAAATCCAAACCGAGGTAAACACATCAACTATAAGAGGGAAACAACGGAACAACATAAACACTGAACTACTATAAAAACAAACGCCAACATACATAGAAACGGACTTTTTGATAACAACTGCCATCTACCTGACTTGGTCCAGGACATTTTAAGAAAAAAATGGTGGGTCGAACCTGGTTTTATGGCTAGCCAAATCTCCCGCTTATAAGGCAATGTTACAAATACCGCTAAAATGACAACATTACGTGACAGGAATACATTACAACTAAACGCAATAATAACAACGGACACCTCCCATTTACACCACAATATAATTATGAACTGTGCGTCACACGAATGTATCAACTCCGCAAAAAGTGACGTCACATGTAAATTTCTGAAAATAGAATATAGAATTTAGATCATGTTAGTAATGGTGTTATTTTATGTATTTTCTAACCATTACAAGAATATTAATATAGAATTGTGTTAGTAATGGTGTAATTATTTGTATTTTCTAACCATGTCGGTTTTTCTTCTAAATCAAAACTGTGAAAACAAATAAATCCTGTGCATATAGTTGCTTTAAACTAAAAATCATATAAATGAACTAGCTGATTAATTATCTTGACTTTTACATACATGTAGAAAATGAAAATAGAATTCAAACCACAAACGATAACACAATATCCAACCAAAATAACAAACGAAACATCATAACTAAATACATGAATGTTGGATGTATAAATACCGAGACACGTCTAATAGCAATGCGAATTCACACTCTGTGTTTCTATACTGCTGTAAATAGTTATCAAAGGTACCAGGATTATAATTTAATAATCATTTCATCATTTTAATAAGGAAAACTTTTATTTTCTTTTTTCTTGTGACACTCGACAAATGTTAACTATTTGAATTTATGGTTAACAATAATGTCGTTATTGTTAATCACTGAAGCACTAACTGACTGCTATATGTACAGTTTTGTGGATCATACACTATGGAAGAAAAGAAGAATTGAGAATGAAAACGGAAAATGTATCAAAGAGACAACAACCTGACAAAAGGGCAGACGACAGCCAAAGGCCAACAATGGGTCTTTAACGCAGCGAGAAAAATGCCGCACCCGGAGGCCACTTCCATAGGTATACTAGTGTTACAAATATTACCATTAAAAATACCTGATTTCAATAACTATGGGTATCTTTTGTATTCTTATTTTGATTGCACTTGTGATTGATTAACTTTGATATCCGTATAACAAAGTAATTCTTTTTATCTGACGTTCATCTTTAATATATATATATATATATATATATACATAACACCTATTATGAGTGCACTGATCGATTTTGAAAGGAAAATAATCGTGATCTAAAAACACCAATACGCAACATGCGTTTTTGCCTGTCCCCAATTAGAAACCTTGTCATGTTAATATAAATCTAATGTTTTTGTTCTCTAGGAATGTGATGTTTATTTGCAGATTTTTGATAGTATATGTGTAAATCATTGATAAACTTTCTATATTCGGAGCAGGAGTGTTATTTTCATTTACAAGCACTGAGCCGATACCACTGCTGGTCGACTATTAGTCCCCGCAGGTATCATCAACTCAGTGGTCAGTGCTTCGGTACTGACATGATTTAAATAGACAAAAAAATCTATATTTAACTTTGATTTGCTGAATTGGAGGTTCTTTCAAGAATTAAAATCCAAGCAGGACAGTGGTAAAGGGGATAAACCCAAGGTATTGGCGGTACCTCTTAAATATGTGTAGAACCGCGATGGTACTCCGAATCGCGATGATCACGCTTACGTGCGATGGTTTAACGCTGAAGTGCGTCTTTTATCACGCTGAAGTGCGATAGTGGCATTGAGACGCCATCTTGTTGATAGCTACGCCGAAGAGCGATGGTGGTAAAGCTGAAGTGCGATGGTCTACACAAGCTACATATTCAATTCTTTTCATGTCGATGTAGAAGTCAATTTGAATGTTAGAAGCAGTTTTTCAGGTTTTTACTACGAGGAACGGGGAGGATTGGTGGATAGGGGAAAATAAACCTTCTGTAGCGATTTGTTTTCGAAATCTACAAAAGTTTCCTTTTACATACGATAGAGCGTGGCATTCTCTAAATAGATATGGGTCGGCATACAGATTCTCTGTATTATAATATTACGGTAAACGAGGAACTCATCAGAGAAACAAAATTAAGATAAAATGTCAACGCAGAATTATGTTCACATGCAGACTATCAAAGAGAACGATCTCTCATTTAGTATGCAACTGAAATTAAGGGCAGACATAGACAATAATAAATGTAAATTTATATAATAACTATTAAAAAAACTACTTCTCATAATAACAGCACATCTGTATATATTAAACTAACCATCATGCGTCAAATAGACCATCGCACATCAGCGAACGGACCATCGCATTTCGGTGTAGACCATTGCACTTCAATGTGACCATCGCACTTCAGCGTCGCCATTGCACCTCCGAATCCTACATATGTATTTGAAGTCACTTGTGCATTTGACAAATCATGTATGAACCCTACCAATTCCATGGTGTGAACATAAGACAGGTTGTACGAAAGGAAAACTTTGGTGTTATCCAGGCCTAAATCCTTAGATCCCCTTCGAAATGTGTACCCAACCAGTTACATTACCAAAAGACTCTTAAAATAACAAAAAATCGGTCTAAGGTGATCTTTGTCCGATATCGAACAGGAAGTACCTCAAGAGGTGTATATGGTTTAACTCATATAGAACCAACGAATAAAAGAATTTCTACATGATTACCGGTATATTGGGTTGCTGTCTCATTGATTTATACCCTTTTCCTTTTATTCTGACTGGAAACGAACATTGAGATTATAATCTGAATCAAGAAAATAAAATTGAGAATGGAAATGGGGAATGTGTCAAAGAGACAACAACCCGACCATAGAACAGACAACAGCAGAAGGTCACCAACAGGTCTTCAATGCAGCGAGAAATTCCCGCACCCGGAGGCGTCCTTCAGCTGGCCCCTAAACAAATATATATACTAGTTCAGTGATAATGAACGCCATACTAAACTCCAAATTGTACACAAGAAACTAAAATTAAAAATAATACAAGACTAACAAAAGCTAGAGGCTCCTGACTTGGGACAGGCGCAAAAATGCGGCGGGGTTAAACATGTTTATGAGATCTCAACCCTCCCCTAAAACCTCTAGCCAATGTAGAAAAGTAAACGCATCAATACACACATTAAAATTCAGTTCAAGAGAAGTCCGAGTCTGATGTCAGAAGATGTAACCAAAGAAAATAAACAAAATGACAATAATACAAAAATAACGACAGACTACTAGCAGTTAACTGACATGCCAGCTCCAGACTTCAATTAAACTGATTGAAAGATTATGTCTTCATCATATGAATATCAGGCACAATCCTTCCCGTTAGGGGTTTAGTATCATACCATCATAACATATATGAGGAGAACATAACCCGTGTCATGCCAACAACTGGTTTTTAAATAAATGTGTTTAGTGCCGATGCAAAGACCCTATAAGTGAATCAATATTAACGCCAAAATATGCAATCTTTAATGACCTGACAACAGTATCGTAACTATATCCCTTCTTAATAAGTCTATTTAAAGGTTTTGTTAGCTTCAGAGGTGAATACTGACATTTTTGTGCTTTATAAAGAATATTTCCATAAAAAATTGGATGCGAAATACCTTAACGTATAAGACTGAATAGATACATAATTGTTCTTAGTTAGAATAAAAACAAACATCTGAAAGTGTGAAAACTTGTGCACTTATGAAGGAACTGTGTGTACAAAAGAAACAACTGCTCTAATATGATATAATTGTGTGAATACAGCTTTATCACATTTTACCACGAATATATTCCACAATCCCGTTCTATTTTCTATGTTAATGACATGATTAAATACGACCTGTTTTTTTACATGCCATTGGCAACACGACGGTAGCTACTATAGTAGTAGGAACTTCTTAACCTTCCTAAGCACCCCAGTTCATCCGCGATATATACTTGTGAGATTCCCGTGGCTCAATCTTTAGTTTTCTATTCAGAATTTTATGGACTGTTGTTTGTCTGTATGTCTTTTTCTTTTCAAGTGTTCATGGAGTTTCTTTGACTTGTGATTTTTCTTGCTCTTTTCTATCTCTTTCCCTGGTTTGTAGCCAATGTCGAAGTCAATGGCAAATAAAGTTTAAACATAGTTGGTGGAAATGATATTTGTCCTCCACAAAAATACCGTTGACTTTTATAAGATTCATTCATTACATTTGGTTGATTCAATGCGGTAATCAATAGATTGAGAAAATGAAAATGCCTTTTTGTCATCTTTAATTGGAACGGCTATAAATAATTGGAACTGCTTTAAGTCTTTGCATGTATTAACATAACATTGTAATAATTTTATTTCCTGGTTACACATATAAAAATATTACGGGGAAAAAAATGAAGTCAGTATATACTTTGTTTGGTTAAAGTCTTCAATTGTTTGAATACTGAAAAAAACCTAATGAACAGAAATTAAAGTTTATCGAATATGAAATTTATGTTTATTAAGCTGATATATGAATTGTGTGACAAATGACCTTAAAAGTTTAAGAATTAGGAAAAGAGACCGAATGCTCTTAGCATGAACATAGTTTGTATCATTCCACTTCTTTCACCATCACCGCCCATCATTGACTTAAGTAAAAGGAAAGTTACAAGACGATCTCTGGCCTCTTGTGCTGAAATTGATAAATGCGATAATGCAAAGTTGAATGTAGTATTGTTTGTAAAAGGTATGCAAATACTATAAAAGCGTTCCTAAAAAATGTGCAATACGTAATAAAAAAAGGTATTTTACCTGTGTCTTCATTGGCTAGAGTAATTACTTTGTCTTTTTTTAACTATGTTTTTATGATTGCACAAAAGGTGTGTCAGCGATGATACATACATTATACCGGTAAATTTATATAGATATAAAAAAAATAAAAATCACCGATGCACCCCTTCTCCTTCAGTTATGAAAATTTTAGCATCAAGGACCGTAACTTCCGGTTTTTTTTATTATTGCTAACTAATTAAGTAAACCTCATCTAATATAAATTTCGTCTGAAGTTTAAAAAACCCAAATATATGAAAACATTTCACAAGGGTAAGAGCTACGTGTATTTGTAATATTATGCAAGTCCTTTTAGGTCCCAAAAAAAAAAACACCAAATGTACTTAATTTCAGTTAAGAAATTTTAGCAAAATAACTGGTTGAGGACACTTCCTGCTGCTTCTGCTAACATGCCAATTTAAAAGCTTGTGTTTTTATCAAATTTTGATAACTTTATAGGGCGTAAAAAAGCCATAATATTCTTGCTGCATACAGAAAATTTATATTCAGAAGATTGTATAGTTATTACCTGGATTGTAGTACGCCGGAGGACCTGCTGCAAGGCCTCCCGAATGGCTAACGGTGGTGGGTGCAATTGTACCTTCTTCTGGAGCCTGAGCAATAGCCATAGAAACAGCGGTTACCAAAATAAATACAACTGCGACTTTCTTGGAGGCCATTTTTCTGAAAATTATACTCTATAATATTTATGTGTATTGATGAATTTAAAATCATTATTTAATCTCTAAAGAGAAATTATATATTTAAAGCTGTAAAAAACAAATTGAACTTGGAATGATATTATGAAAAATATTATTAAAATATTTTGTATAATTTTATTTCATGCTGAAACACTACATCATTTTAGGTTTGTAGTAATTTTAAAGGACGAGTTAGCGCTATGTGCCTTTAATACCTTGCTGTAAAGCATGGACATTTAATGTCAAGATGAATAACAACAATAAAAAATTTTGTATTCCTTAGTATTTCATGAAGTTTGTTCCATGCAAGTCCAACATAATATGCATTTCCCTTTATACAAGATATAGTTATGACTATAACTATGAAAAGGGTGTTAATCTATGTAAAAGTTTAGATTGTCGATAACCAATTGAAATACTAACTAAATAAATGGTACATAAAGCTTTCATTTTGTTAAGAATAGTTTCATTTAACAAGTAAAAAAAATCATTGATTTATGAAAGCAGTCGATAATAGTCACAGGCTTTTAACTGAATTAAGCTCAATAAAAAGGAAGCATATTTTCATGACGATTTCACTTCACAAGATGAGAAGTATTCAACACAAAAAGTAGTCAACAAATTAAGTTTGTCTCGTATTTCATTATTTCTTTCAAAATGATCTCAATTCAGAAAGTATATGGTAAAATGTTTGCGTACTAAGGTTAATGGTGAACTTATAGCCTTCTATTTCAAAGATCTTACACACAACATAAATAAAGTATCGAACTAAAGATTATGAATGTTTTTGTACACTTGAAATTACAATATGACTGTCCGTAGTCAAACAACATACCGAACCAAAAGACGTCTACCGATTAACATACGGGCTTAAACAAAAGACAGGTTTTTATACAATGTACACGATAAGGCACTTAATCGTCCCTAAAAGAAGTGAATAAATCAAACAATATCTATCAAAATTTCGGCATTAATGCCAAATTCCCCAGAAAAAAAAGCAAGCGGAAAAACAAAAAAAAAAACAAAAAACTCAAGAAAACGTACCAAAATTAAAAACATATTAAGATAACACAAATGCCAATCACTGACGAGGTTTATGACTTGAGTAGAACACAATATGGAATTAACTTGTAAGAATAGTAAAAGTAAAACATAGATTCAATCAATCTGATAATCAGTTTACGTCTGCAGTATCAAACACAGTAGCAAACTAACCGTGACGCCAAAGTTATATTTGCGGCCGTGTCTGTTTTTCATCGTGACGCCACAGTTACATTTGCGACAGTTTGATCACAGAAGAGATGCCATTCTTTTTATCAATTGCGTTGTCTATTTTTCATCGACGTATAGTTTTAATTGAACCCTTGATATCGTCTCCCTCCTTTTTAAATAGATAAGACAGACAAAAAAAAAAAAACGGGATAGATGTACTCTTACTGATAAACAGGATGAGCAGACCCTGTAAATTATAACACATTGATAAATGAAATTGGCCGTAAGAATTTAAGTGCAAACTAACAAATTGATTTTATATCAAAATGTCATACGAGGATATATCAGCTCTGTTGTAGAAAAATATATCTTTAAGATTGTATAACACAATGAAATGAGGTTTTAAAGCAGCTGGATTTATCTATCTGATTGGACTTGTTCCTTATATAGTACACCAAAATTCAATAAGGGTGACGGATTTATACAAGTTCTTCTTGTTTTCGAATCCCTATTTTTCCTATTGTATAATTGTAATTTGTACACTTTTGACAAACAAAAATAAAATTAAATAAAAATTAAAAAAAAATAAAATAAAATAAAAATATAAATATTGTAATATTTAAACTAAAATTCAATGTGTTGTTATAATTTTCACAAAATTTTAAAGGTTATTCCTGTGTATCTAGTTGTTTAATCACATTTAAGTTGGTTGCAAAATATTTACCGATACATTACATCCTATAAAAAGAACATAGTCTTGTGTGGAGACGGTGTGAGTTCACTGCTAAAAATTTCTCTAATGAAAAAAATAAACAACACACAAAATCACTCAATTGAACCTTAAAATCTTTTTTTCAAATTGAAAAGCTCATTCACATGGTTCCATTTGAAATGTCACAGGATAGCGAATGATGAAGAAAATGATTTTTGCTCCTAACCATCTTTTTTCATCTTATTGTAATTATCATCTGACAGTACGAACTTAATAAGCCTTTTATCACTCAGCTGCAAAAGTGTTTTAGACTTTTTAGAATTTTACGACAATTTTCCGTTTATCTTGATAGGAAGATTCTTTATATCGACACACCATTATTGGGTAAATTATGTTCATTTATCATGTCTAGGGTTGAAAATGTCAGGGACGCACTTAGAGATGCAAAATTATAAAAATTGGACGCTTTTTTCTTATAGAACCATTAAATATTCTGTATTCTGCCACGCTTTGACACAACTTCTATAGCAATAAATTGTACACAGCTTTAAAAGAGAGACAGAAGATGATATCAACGGGATATTCGAACTCAACTCATAAGTCGACGACATACTGAACTGACAACGTCATGGCAATTTGATAGTAATCAAGTTTGATGAAGATTACAGACCAAGTTTACAAACAGGACACAACCAATCTGATTGAAATATATGTCTCCAACCTTCGCTTACAAGGATCTGACATAGATTCATTCTACTTTCTGTTTGAAAGACCTTTCGGGTTTCTTGTCGTAATGAAACACACCTTTTAAAAAAGTTTGGACGCAGAACTTTCATTGGCTGATGAAACAATTACTAATGATTCGAATTAATGAAAGCGGATTAGTTCATGACATAACAGACTTACTATCGACAATCTGATTAAAATACAGATCACGTGTCCAAGCTTTGCTAACAATGATCTGACAACACTCCTTTCTACTTTCTTTTCTGGTAATTGTTTCATCATATATTTTCACAGCTTTCTAAATTATTACCTTACGTTTAACTTCAAAGAAATATCCTGAATTGTACATGTATTACCTTTCTACATGCTAATGTTCAGGTAATGTTTAAAGTCTTGTAGAGAAATAGTACCGTTCGGAAGTCAAGTACTACTAAAAATAAAGCCTGGTTTTCTGGAAATCTTAAATAAGTATACTATGGATGCATGATTTTTTTTACTAGTTGTTAGTGGCTTTGAACTAGCTGTCAATAACTGCGAGTACGCTCAGATCTGTACTTAGTGTCTTTTTCTTGTTTGGATGTACAAGTACCCGGCCACGTCCACTTGTATTTGTAGTATTTGTATTTTTATCAATCTGATGAGTTAAGCCTCTTTCAACTGATTTTTATAGTTCGTGAGTGAATTGGTTGTCAGACACCAGAACTCATTGTACCACTTACAATTTTTAATTCACAATTAGTCTTTTGTAGACGGAACTTGCGACTGGCGTACACAACTGTAAGCTTTGTTTCTTTGATGGGTATTCTTTACAGCTTTATATATCGACCTTGAAGTTATTACAATGTATTAAACAATATTTCTGAACTTTTATTCAAATTTCATAAAAAAATATATAAAAGAACTGTTCATCCCAAACATCTCAAACAGTCCTATTGAAAAAATGCATTTTCTTTCAAAATTTTGCTACTGGACGATCTCAAATAATAAAGTTTTACAAAAACACAAAACATGAAATTTGCAATGTTTCTATCACATAAACTTTATAGGACTGAATAGCATTTCTTTTTTTTTAATTTGTTGCCAACTTTTTTTAAGGGTATCACCCGGTCTTAAATATACAAATTCCACTATATTTCATCGACTTTTCGATATTGCCTCTGTGAACAGTGTACACGGAAAAGTGGAGTAAATACCTCTTTGAGATCGCCATTATTATCAGATTAGCTTGCATTATAACTAACTTTACGGATGTACGAAACATATTGTGACATTTGTAATTTGTTTATGCCGAATACTCATACATCTTTGTGTAAGTATCTCACAGTAACGTTTAAATACGCAGCTAGTCTGTCACATAAAAATAAAAGATAAACTATTACTCATATTTGAATTGTCACTAAGACTAACGGTTTCATGAATATCATTTGATGAGTGACTTATTATTTCTCGGACTCTTAAATTCACCAAATTTTCTGTTTATATAAATTATACCATTACGATAATTTATTATTATAGGGAAATTGCAAATATTTTGTGAGACAGAATATTAATAGTATACTGATTTTAAAGAGAAGATTTACCTTGGGGTTACAGAACACTTTAAAAAAGTCACTTTAACGATCAACTGAACTTTTTAATCACACACTATTTGTGAAGAGAAATCAAGCTTCTCCATGATCAAACTTATTGTTTGTCAATATATATCCAATATATATCCAATGCTATATATCCAATGGAATTATTTCTGTTAATTTGTGTGGTTCAAATTTCTTGACATTTTTTGTAGATATTTTGTCAAAATTTTATGAAAATTAAACGAGTCAAATTTATTTCAATGAAAGTGTTGGGTACCCCCTTAAACATTAATTTCCCCAAATACATCACCTCTTCAAAAGTCTGCATGAGCTGAGTAAAAAAGAGTGCTGCGGAAAAATGAACTATAAGTATTTGAAAATTGAAATAGAAACATATAGTTAATGCATTCGTTTTTCGCTCCTTGATTTTGTCTTGCTTTTAATGCGTGTTATTGTTTATTAAGACTATTTTAAGAATCTGGTCGACAAACGAAATAAACAAATTGCCATATTACTCAGTGCAATTTTTCAATGGTTATTGAACCTTTTCTATTGTAGGAAAAGTCAAGGACTTACCTTTTCATTATTAAAATGTGCTATATTTGAATTCTTTAATTGTTAATAATTGCAACATTTCTCCACGGAGAATATAATATGCCGGATGGTTTGGGATTAAATCTAATCGTGGCACTGTGAAAGACAATTTTCATGAAAAAAATAAACCACAAGGAAGAGTGTTCGTGAGCTAA